TTCCGCGCGCTCTCGCCTCGACGCCGGCTGCAATTCTTATGAAAACGAGACTCCCGCTTAAGAGCGGGCTTGATTGTAAATGCGTGTCCTTGGAGGCCAGGCTACCACGACTACGGCTCCCGCTCGATATTTCCTCACCATCTACCCCAAGACGCCGTGGCTAGAGAGGCCCCCGAGCTCAGGAACGCCGCTCTCGCTCGAGACTCGCGATTCAGTAAAATTGGTGGGGGCCCAACTACGACGACAAGGCCTCTCGTTCGAGACTTCCTCAAGATGTACTCGCAGAGACTCTTGCCAGAGAGGCCCCCGATCTCAAGAGTGGCACTCTCGCTCGAGTTTGTTTCGTAATTCTGGCACGTTGGCGGAGGCCCACACACGGCGACAAGGGTTCCCGTTCGGTATTTTTTATTCTGTATTATGAGAGCCTTTGGCCAGAGAGGCCCCGAATTTAGGGACGGCGCTCTCGCTAGAGAGTTGATGGGCTCGGCTGCGGTCGCATCATGATTTTCCCTTTTGTCGAGCCGAGTTTGCGTCCCCCCGTGCAGCCCAATGCGTTCGCCTTGCAGCTACCGCAACTCGTTTGGGCCCCCCTCGCGGGCGGCTGCGTCTCTCGATGGGGTCGCGCGTTTGTCTCCCCCGAGCTGGCGCCCGCCAGCAGTTGTAGCTCCGCGGTGCCATGGGATTCCTGCTGGAGGAGTTGTAGGGCGTTCGGCTGCCCCAGAATTCCCGCTGCGTTGCCAATGTGTGCCTGTGTAATCGTCCTCTGCCACGCGATTTGGTTTCCCCGGAGCTGACAGCCATTTTTCTGGTCGAAATATGGCATGCCGCGAGCGACCCGCCGAGACTAGCAGGCGTGTTTTTACTATTTGGGATATCGGTGGGGGGATCTCTGTCGTCGCCCTGCCAGCTCTCGAGATCTCGGAGAAGAACAAGACCAAAGAGCACCTCTCTGGTCCTGGCAGCCCTTTACATGGCCAGGGTTTGTGAGAGGTGTTTACTCGACCTTTTTGGATGTGGGAATATCGGTTCTCTCTTTCATAGAGTTGCATCTTGATGGATGCATGTGGCATGTTGAAGCATGGCGCATCAGGGATAGATGGATCAATAATAACTGTTGACCCCCCCTCTGGTGCAACTTCTGTGTTTCAATTGAAATGTTCCTTCCGGGGCTCGCACTTTTTTTTGTCTGGGAGGGTTTACGGCCTCAGAGAGGGCCTTGGGTCCCTGGTTTACAACCACCGCGGCTCTCGCATGATACTTCCTTACAGTGTATTCAATATCGCGTTCTCGCGCGGGAAATCTTCAGCATTCATGCAGGAATCGACTTGTGGCATGGTACGTTCTACCCATCTATTGAGACTCCGCGCCCTCGACACATTAAGGAATCACTCTCTCGCTTTGGACTTCTCTTGAGATTTACTTGCGCATCGCGCTCTCGCTTGAGAGCTCCTTGCGATTCACGCAAGACTGACGCTTCAGCGACCCGCCAGTGCGACCCGGCCGTCTGAGCCCACCCGCCCGACCCGCCCGTTAGGGCCCGCCCGCCCGACCCCGCCCGTCTGGTTCTGCTGCTTGTTCTCCTGCTCCTCCCCACCCTCCCCCCCTCCTGCTAATCTACCTTGTGTTTGATCGTTCTCCCTCCTCATTGCCCCTTCCCTCCTCCATCTCTTGACCCGCGTGCTTCGTCAACTACACGCGGCAGGTCAGGACGACATACTCTCAATGGGGAACGACTCAAGACAAAGAGGGTAGATGTCGAGGGTTTGGGGTTTAGATTTTGAGTGATATGCTTGCAACTGAGGGCGAACGGTCTTAAACTGATTGTTTCTGAAACTGATTGTTTCTGGTGTGTTTTCGACCTGGGCGTTAAATGATACCACGAGGGTTGGTTCTAGATTGCTTTCCAGGGTTAGGGTAACGAGAGATGTGTTGGGCTTCATAGTCGAATACAGCGTCGAGCACGCCTCTGGGATTGTCGTTCAACGTCGCGTCCACCACGCGCCCTTGGGCTTTCACGCCGTTGTTCTCGGAGCGCGCGGATGTCATATGTCTGCTTTCAAGAAGCGCCACGCGATGCCGCGAATCTCGTCGTTCACGTCTTCACCGATCTTGCAGCCCTCCGCGTGTGGAAGACCACCAGGGTCGTCCAGCTGCGTCCCGCCTGCGTTCTAGATCCATGACATAGCGCCCTCGTACGCGCTGGAAAGATGACCTGCCCGATCGTAAACGTCAGCCGCCATAGCACAGCCATGGGCCCCGCTCTGCTCGCCACTGTGCGAGCGTCAGGCGGCCACCTGCGCCTCATCCCCGCCAGAGCTGTGCCAGGCCAGGGTCGTGGCTTGTGCTTTGTGTGGTATCGCTTGCACGATCGCCCTCTGCATGCTTCTATCCGCCAAGAGGAGAGAGAAGACTGGTGTACACACGCCGCTCCTGGCCAGGCCCATCCTGGCACCAGGATCGCTGTACACGCCGGCCCTGGCCTCGCCAGGCAGAGCATAAGCTGGACCCCCCTTAGCGGCGCGTGAAGACCAAGGCATCCGCGCGGAATTTCGAACTTCTGCCAGCCTTCGAGGAAGGCTGCGTCAGCCCGCAGAGTCGCCGCTCCGAAAGCAGCGCCGCCGTCGCGGAGTGGCGGGTGGCCTCTCGCGACTGCTCGCGAGCGTGAGGAATACCCGATATGTCAACCCATGCATATGCGACGGTAAGGTCGCGGTCGGGTGGGCCCTGTTCGCTCCAGAGGCGCGGGCGGAGCAGGCGGTGGAGGGCGTCGCCTTCCTCCACCTTCCATTTCTCTCTCTTGCTCCTTATCCTCTGAATGGTCTTCCCGATCCTCTGCATCCCATCGCTGTCCTCGTCATCGTCGTCCTCGTCGTCGTGGCCCCGATCTGGCTCTCCCTCGTCTCCCCTCTTCGCCGTCTGCGGGGCAGCCCGCCGGGGCAGCAGCATGTTGCAAAAGAAATTACGTTTCCTCCCTCTCTCCTCGCTGCTCCCTCTTCCGTTCTGATTGTTTCCTCCTTCCCCGGCATGCCTGGGCAGGGGGCGGTCATCCCCTCGGATCCGGAGTCGCTCCGGCAGTGGACGACGCACACAGAGACCATCGAGGATTTGAGCGGCACGGGGGAATGGGCTGGGAAGCATGAGAGGGGACGTTGGGAAGGCGGAGAGAAAAGAGAACGGGGAGGGGAAGGCTAGCCCCTCATCGCCCATCCTCCCGCTACCACCTCTTCCTGTTCCTTGTTTCCTGTTCCTCACCCACGGTATCGTTGCTAATTCTCGTTTGACGTATAGCCCCAAAGCTTTAAGATGTCCTTCTTGGATGCGCATCTTGCAGATTGCAATCTAGTTCCACACTCCGATGGAGGCACTCACGAGGGATTGTGCTTGGCTGCCGGATGGGCTGGAGAGTTCGACATTTGGCATTGTATTTCTTGCTAGTTACATTCGGGGGCTATGGTAAGCACGGTCATATCGGCGCCGATTGATTATTGAATCGCTTCGCTCATTCCGCCGGCCCATTTCGCATGACTGAGCCTCTTGGGGCCGCTGGGGGGCCTCTTCAGCGTCGCTTGGGGGCCTCCTGAGGGCCTCTTGGGGGCTTTTGGGGCCTCTCAGGGGCCTCTTGAGGCCTCCTGGGGGCTTCTTAAGGCCGAGGGCTCGAAGTTTTGTTTTGTGTTCCCCCTTTGGGGCATCGCTTGGGGCCCTCTTGGCCCCCTCTTGGGCCGTCTTGGATGCCTCTGGGGCCGTCTTGGAGCCCTCTTGGGCCATCTTGGGGGCTTCTTGGGACCTTCTTGGGCCCTCTTGGGGCGATCTTGGGGGCCTCTTGGGCCGTCTTGGGGCGTCGGGAAGCCGAAAAGATGGGCACGCCAAAATCTGCCCAAAACCTAAGGAAAAGTAATGAATTGTGCCTCTTGGGGCCCTCTGGGGAGTGCTCTTGGAGGCCTCTTGGGGCGTCTGGGGGCCATCTTCGTCTTGGAACGATCGTGTGGCATCTCGGAGCACTCTTGAACCATCTTGGAGGGCTTATGGCGGCCTCGTGGCCCTTCTCGGGGCTCTCTGGAGGGTCACGGGGGCGGCGCCCAGGAGGAAAACCATCTCTGACCCGACCCTGCCGGGGATCGCCCGGGGTATTTTTCGTCCGGGGACCCCCAGGGGCCGCCCCGCGCGCGCGAAGTAGAAGTATTATTTAGCAGTTACTGGAGATCTTAGCACGCCTCTGGCCCGTTGGGCCGGCGAATTCCGTGTCGAAAGCCTTCCTTGTCCCTGACAGTTCCCTTCGCCCCGCCTCCATATCCTCGCTCACTGTTCTTTGGCTCAAGCGGTGGCTCAAATGGCTCAAGACCACAGACCACAGACCCAGGCGTTCATTGTTCGCTGCGCCTGGTCCGCCCCAGGTGAGCAGAGTTTTGTTTTCTCGGTGCACTTTGTCCGCCCCTGGTTGCACTCTGCCTCCTGGTCCGCCCCAGGGCTGCAGCTTCCTCCGATGCCAGGAATCATGGATGGCATGGATATGAAGGACAGCTACGTGGGCGACGAAGCCCAGAGGAAGCGCGACGTCCTGACCCTGACGTACCCCATCGAGCAAGGCATCGTGACCAGCTGGGACGACATGGAGAAGATCTGGCACCATAGCTCCGACAACGAAATCCGCGTGGCTCCAGAGAAGCACCCCCTGCTGCTCACGGAGGTGCCTCTGGACCCGAATGCGAATTGCGAGCGCGTGACGCAGATCATGTTTGAAACGCCCAACGTGCCGGCGGTGTACGTCGCGATCCAGGCAGTGCTCTAGCTGTGCGGTTCTGGCCGCATCGCTGGGTTGGTCATACATTCCGGGGATGGCGTGTCGCACGCCGTGCCCGTCCATGCGGGCTACGCGCTGCCGCATGCGATCCTGCGCCTGCATTTGGTGTAGCGGAACCCTATGGAGCACTTCGTGAACATCCTCACCGAGCGTGGTCACTCCTTCACCGCCGCGGCTGCGTGAAATATTGTGCGAGACGTCAATGAAAAGCTCTGGTGCGTCCAGCTCGAAGGCCGCCACGGAGAGCTCCGACAAGAACACAACTTGCGAGCTCCCCGACGGGAGCGTCGTAACCGTTGGCAGCGAGCGTTTCCGCTGGTGCGATGTCGACATCCGCAATTACCCTTCCGCCAACGTGGTGCTGGCTGGTGGCATCATAATTTTCCCAGGCATCGGCGAGCGCATGACCAAGGCATTGACGGTACTGATTCATTCCACCCTGAAGATCAATGTCGTGGCCCGCCCCAGCGCAAATACTCAGTGTAGATCGGTGGGTCTTTCCTTCCCTCGGAGAGCACCTTCGAGCAGATGTTGATCTCCAAGGGGGGGCTCGGCGCGCGACGGCGTCTCGCGCTGCAGCTCAAAGTCCGCTTCCGACGCGCCCAGCGCGGCAGTTCGGCCTCGGGGGCCCAGTGGGCCGACAGGGCTTGAGACGCCATGTCGGCGCGAGCGCGTCAGCCGAAGCGCGGCCAGGCGCGCGGGTCGGCCGCGCGCGCGCTGTTTTCCGCCGACTTGCCGCTCTCCTGCCTCGGCACTGCGCGGGCCAGCTGCGCGCGCGCCCCGAGTTGCGCGGGCGGGCCAGCTGAGCGCCGCGCCCGCGCCGCGCAATCCACGCGCCGGTCAGGCGCGCGCCGGCCCCGCGCGGCGAGGCGCCTGCGCGGGCCAGCTGCGCACAGGAAATGTTTCAGAGGGTTTTCCCTCGGCAGATTCTGGGAGCCAGGCGAACTGGAACCGGCCGACGTGTTTGATGTAAGTTGCGAGCTTGCCTCACGCCCCAATGATCACAGCCTCGCGCTGGCAGTGATAACTTGCAGTGGCCGCGCTGGCGTTCTAAAGTACGGCAAGCCAGATGTTACTGTCTCGGGCAGATACTGCAAGATTACCAGACTCGCGTGCGCAGGCCGTGCATCTGGCTCGCAGGCCCTCCTTGTTACAGTCTGCCAGGGGAGGCCACCGCCTGGACGGCTTCTGCGGTAAAGATTGCATATTTGTTGATCAGGTTTTCTCCTCCCTCCCTTTTTGCATGCCCCGTTGACATCCTTGATGGGCTGCCGCCGTGCGGGCCCGCGCAGATGGGCCTGCGCCGGCCTGCCCCGGCCGCGGCGCGCCTGCGGCGTCTCAGGGGGAGTTCGTTTTTGCCTCGCCTGCCCCCCTCCACTCCTCCCTCTCATCCCTCCTCTCCTCCCCTCTCCCCTCTTTGTTGACTCTGTCGTATGGTCATACTCACACTCATGTTCCCCTCACCTTCTCGTCGTTGCGGGGCGAGACGTTCGGCCTCCAGGGGCGGCTACCGCGCCAGAGCTCTGACGCCGTTCCGTCTGCTCAGGGCTTGCGTTGAAGCCCGCAGGTCGCGCCAGCTTCCGGGCGGCCGGCCACGCTCTTCCACCTTCGATGTTCACTGGATCCGTTGGGCTTCATGTTAACTTGCAGCCTCATCTTGTCACTCAAGGGTTCAAGCTTGAACGGTGCGCCACCGGCTGGAATGCTAGAATTTGTCCAGGTGCGCTGCGTTAATCCTCCCTCTCCTCTCCTTCTGTATCCTTCGTTTGATCCCCTCGCAAAATAGTTCACTGCGTCTCACCGTTTGTCTGAGATGCGTGGCCGTGGCGAGCCTCGACTTCCATCCGCACTTCTCGCCCTGCAGGAGCGGTTTGTGTGTTTTATGCTTTGTCCTCCTTTGTGCGGGCCTGGCTGTGTTTGTACAGCTCGTGTTTAGTGCCAGCCGCCGCTCGGCTTCATTAGGAATTTCGCTGATTTCTCTCTCTGTCCCTCCCTTGCGTTCTTTCCTTCTCGCTCTTTCCTCTTGCTTTGCTTGCGGCGCGCTCGTCCATCCTTCAAGCCACGGTCCAGCACATGTGCATGCCTATCGCAGGTCGGCTCGTGTTGTGTTCCCACAGCGACCTTTTGATTCGCACAGCGGTCGAGGTTGAGCGGGGTGAAACATGACATACCCTCGCTTCCAGCTCTTTCTTATCATTTTATCTTCGTCCTGTTGGACTGTGGTCCCCACAGTCGTACATAGCTCTGCCCTTCTGGCCCTGTCCGTGAACAGAGTCGGTCAGCGCAGTAGTGATTGAACTTGCGAGGCAGAAGAGCGACCAGACGAGGGACTTGGGTGGCGGAGGAGTACGAGGTGGATGAGGCTTGGGGAAGATGGGGGGCGCGGGTAGAGGGAGACAAAGGGGGGAGAGGAACGTGTAGGAGGAGGAGGAGGAGGAGGAGGAGGAGGAGGAGGAGGACGAGGATCCCCTCCCTCCAGGGGCGGTCCGAAGATCCCTTCCATCCAGGTGCTCTCCCTCGCCACTCGTGTCCGAGCAGCAACCTCTACGTTTTTGTCTTGGAGAATTTGCCACCGCAGGCTGGAGCTGACGGCCGTGTCCAGCCTGAGCCTCGGGGAAATTGGTCGTGTAAAGCGGAGCCCCCACTGGTGGAACTCGAAAGCCATCAGCGAGCACATGTTTGAGGCCTCCGAGTCCTTCCCATCACATCCCCGCCACAGAGTCCTCCGCCCCCTGGTTGCCCAAGCTCTATTGGATCGTGAGCAAGCCCTGGGCCGTAGCAGTACGAAATGCAAATTACAGCGTGCCCTCACTCTCTCGTATGATACTGCCCTCCTCCCTGACCGTTGGACCGATGTGTTCCGTCGTCGTCTTTCCGATTTGTTCTCGAACCATGTCCCGGCTATCCGCGGCCTCGGCTGGCCCGAAATTCAGAAGAGTGTAAAAGCTATGAAGCCATGCTTTTTCGCTAGCAGTGCTGAGAACTTCAGAACTCTCAGTAATAATCGGTGTGCGGGCAGCAAGTTCCAGCATACGACGGAATCCCGCTGTGTGTTCGGCTGCCCGATGGCTCCCGACAGCTTGATCCATTATCGGTCCTGTTCTCGTCTGTCCCGTCCTCTCCGTTCTCTCGGCGAGTTCCCCCTGCCCCCTTGCCCTCTCGCCCTCCTGGGTCTCATCCATCCATGCCGAGAGAATTTCACGCCCGCTGTGGCGGCCTACTTCCTATACGCGGAGGCAAAGGCAGCCTCGCGCCTGCATCGTGGTGCTGTCTTCGGCGATCCCGAGGCCGTCGCCTTTTTTTTGTTTCCTGCTGTGCGTTTTGCTATGAGCGAGTAGGGTGGACGAGCAGAACTTCTTGGGATACGCTCGAGGAGGAGGACCAGTGTAAACCCAAGAGTCATCAACGATGTTTGAATGAACCCCCCCTCCAAGCTCCCTCTTCGTAGGCCCACGCAGCGGCTCATGTCCATTGAGGGAATTGCTTCGTTGGAAGACAACCGTTTGAAGATCCTGATGCGTGTCCAAACGTTGCTTTCGGGATTTCAACGCCACGTATCAACCTGACTGCTGCGCCTTGGCGATCCGGGGTCCTGCCAGAGCGCCACGTTTGGGACTTCAACACCGCGAATCAACATAACTGTTGCGCCCGCATAACCCAGAATCTTTCCAAAACGCAATTACGGGCACGTTGGTCATGGGACCCCGTGAAACTCTTTTCACACGTTGAAAACGAATGTGCGCGGCGTTAAGGGGGGAGTCACATTTTGAAAAGGAGCCGCCCTCAATCAGTGAAACGCTTGAAAAGGTTGAAAACGAGTGTGCGCGGCGCTAAAGCGAGAGCCACATTTCGAAAACGACCCGCCCTGAATCCGTGACAACCTTGCCACCGTTTGAAGACGATTGCGCGCGGCGCTAAGGCGAGAACCACATTTTGAATAGGAGCGCCCTCAAGCCGTGCAGCTCTTACAAATCCTAGACGCTTCGTTTAACCCCACCATCCCATCCAGAAGCGATGCCCGGAGGAATTGCCTCGATGAGGGAAGTGGGCGACGCGCAGAGGAAGGGCCCCCAAGTGGAAGCCTCTTGGAGCGTCTTGGGGACTTGTTCGCGGTCCCAGTTGCCTTTTGAAGCGTCTCGGGTGCCTCGGAGAATTTCTTGTGGCCTCTTGGGGGTCTCCTGGGGGCCTCTTGGAGGCCTCTTGAGCGCCTGTTGGAGCCTCCTGGGGCCTCCTGGGCGCCCCCTGGGGCCCTCTGGATTTGAAGTGCTCTTGGGGGCCTTGGGAGCGCTCTCGGGGCCCCCTTGGGCCATCTTGGAGCCATTTGGAGGTTTCGGACGGCCGCCGGAAGCGACAAGGCGAGAAAGCCAAACACATGGTTGTTCGTTCGGTGTTTGACGGATTTGGACCTCTTCGGGGCCTTTTTGGGGGATATATTTGGCAATTTGGAGCCGTCTTGGAGCGGCCTTAGGGCCCCTTGGAGCATCGTGGGGGCCATCTATAGGCATCTTGGGGTATTTTGAGCTATGTTGGAGGTCATCTTGTGTTCCCTCAGGCGCCCCTGGAGTCATCTTAAGCAGCGCCCCCCCCCCCCCCTCCCAGGAGGCCAACACGTGGCCAACACCGTAGTCACATCAATGATTGCGAAGGCCTTACGGCCGGTGCCGCCGACCCTGGAGGGCGACCCATGCGTTCTCGTATGTGGCGGGGGGGGCCTCTTGGGGCTTCCTGGGGGCCTCTTGGGGGTCTCGTGGTGGCCTCTTGGGGGCATATTGGGGCTTCCTGGGAGCCTCTGTCGCCGAGGGCTCGTCGGGCCCCCCGTCTGGGCACCCTGTTGGAGCCGCTTGGGGGGCCTCTGGAACCATCTTTGGGCGCGGCTCGGACGTGGCTCGGGCGCGGCTCGGGCGCGGTCCGAGCTCATCTTAAGCAACGCCCCCCCCCCCCATCTCCCAGGAGGCCAACATGTGGCCAACACCGTAGTCACATCAATGATTTTGGTATCGTCGCCGAGGCCTCCTGGAGCGTTTTGGGTGCATCTGGGGGGCCTCTTGCGGGTCTCCTGGGGCCTCTTGGGGGCCTCTTGGGTCTTCCTAGCAACCTCTTGGAGCCCTTTTGGGGCACCCTTGGGCGCCTCGGGAGCGCTCGCGGGGCCATCTCGGAGGAGATCGATCAAAGAAGGAGGGTCTTTCAGAGAGCCTTTCAATTAGCGTCGCACCCCCCCACGAGGCCAAAATGTGGCCACAACCCTGGTAAAACCAATGATGTTGGCTTCGTCGCGGAGGCCGTCGTGGACGCTCCAGCGACCCGCGACACGCCCTGTCCAGGTCCAGGGGAATGGCAGGGGTCAAGACCCCACCCCCGCCCGAAAGCCGTTTCGTTCACTCCCACCCGCCGTCCCAACACATACGTAGCATTCGAGCACGGCCCCAACCGCAGCTACTGGGGGCGAGTCCGCAGCCGCCGCCGCCGCCGCCGCCCGCAGCAGCCGCCGCCGCGCCGCCGCCGCGCCGCCGCCGCTGTCCGCCGCCGCCGCCGCGC